CAAGATATTTACGTGCCAGATGCGTTAAAGATTCTTATGTCCCATTCCAAAGGACATGCGTCCATGCTGATGATGGGTTCTGCTCGATAACGATCCAAAGCAGAGTGGACCGACGCATGTTCATTTTCATCATCTGAGTCAGATCCCACCAGCAGAAGGTTGATTTTCTTTTTTGGTGGTTTGGGTTCTGTAGTTTCTGCATCAGAGTGTTGCTCTTTTAAGACTTCTGAAAGCATGCTCCACACCTCGTCCCTCTCAGATTTTGGATGGCACTTCATTTTCTTAAACCTTGGGTCGAGTGATGTAGCCAGCGGGGGCACCAGCGCACCAAGCGTGTGCCTGGGGCGGCAAACCACGGGGGGCGGCAGCGGGTACGACGAAGCCGCGGGACCAGCGGACCTCCCGCAGGCGCGCCGCCAAAAGCCGCCTGACTGCCGTGCTTGGGACGGCAAAATACATAGAGCTGCCCCTGGATGTAGCTATCTTTATAAATCTTTATGTTTTGTCAAATCTGCAGTGAAAGTGTTCTTAAATCAAACAACATATGCGGGGTCATCATACTAGACTACCATAACACAAAATATATGGTAGAATGCAGGTAAAACCATGGAGCAGAAGACATACAATTCTCCTCCAAGGAGTTCAGTCACAATTTAATTAACGCATTTTTTTAAACAAGCATCATCAGCATGGAAGCATGTCCTCTGGAATGGTGGTCGAAGCATGAAGAGGCATATAAATGTTTAGCATATCTGGCACATAAATACCTTGCAATGCTGGCTACAAAAGTGCCATGTGAATGCCTTTTCTCACTTTCAGATGACATTGTAAATAAGAAGTGGGCAGCATTCTCTCCCGTAAATGTAAACAAACTTGTTTGTCTTAGCAATTCACTGAACAAGAAGTAGGACTAAGTGGACTTGTAGGCGCTAAAGTTTTACATTGTTTTGGTTTTGAGTGCAGTTATGTAACCAAAAAAAATCTACATTTGTAAGTTATGATAAAAAGTCACGATAAAAAGATTGCACTACAGTATCTGTATGAAGTAAATTGAAAAATACTATTTCCTTCGTTTGTCATTTAAAAAATGCAAATATTTGTAATCAAAGTAATATAAAGTGAGCACTATACACTTTGTATTCTGCGTTGTAACTGAAATCAATGTTTGAAAATGTAGAAAAACATCCAAAAATATTTAATACATTTCAATTGGTATTCTGTTGTGTAATAGTGCGATTAAAACTGCAATTAATCGCAATTAATTTTTTTGAGTTAATCACGTGAGTTAACTGAAATTAATCGACAGCCCTAAAAATTATAAAGCTAACTTCTTTAATCTCTGTGGATAACCTGTCATTAAATAATTGTCTGACACCTCCCTCATAATTTCCCACAACTGTGAAAATTTAAATTGACAGAAATCTTAACAAATACTTAAAAATAAACATCAATATTATCCATAAAAATTATATATATTGTGACAGACCT